TACCCAGTGCTTCCTGTATGTCTCATTTCTGTCCTTACACACAAACCCAAGGCAGATGTAGTCTCTCCTCTACAGATAAATCAAGGCTCAGCATTGAGTAATTGTCTGAAGTCAGCAGAGCTGGGATTTGGTCTTTGGCCTCAGAGCACAGGCCATGGCCAGGAGCCCGGGGCTGGCTTGCTTGCTGTCCTCTGTCTGCACTCTTGGAGTATCCAGGAGGTCTGCCCTGTCTGTTCTGTCGTGCTGCTCTCAGACATTGTGAAGGTGTAGCAGGAGGGCTGCTGCAGGAGCTGCCTGGCTTTGGAGCACAGGGAAGCCTGTAGTGAGGTAGCCTCACTGGCATTGCTGGAGCTGCAGGCCAGCGTGGCAAACAGTGACCCCCAGAAACACTTCCCTTGACCTTCTTTGCTGCTCTTCCTGGGGGAGGTTCTCCTCCTAGCCAACTCTGGCCCCTCCTGCCTGAGTGTGTCTGCTCTGTCATCCACACAGGAGGAGACAGCGAGGGTGAGCATGAGAGGCAGCCTCTTCCTGCTCTTGGCATCTGTCCAATTTCTTCTTAGGAGGTGGGCAGGGGTGTGTGAGCCTCTGCTGCAGGAGTCGAGATGGCTGAGTCCTGCCCTCCTCCCTTTGCCTCTGTGGCAGGGAGGGTCTCATGGCTCTGGGGTATGGTCCCTTCCTTCTGCACTGACCCAAACTTTCTGCCGTCTGCAGGGCACTGGCAAGTGGTACGAACTGCAGGACCTGCAGGTGACGGATATCCTGCCCCAGATGATCACACTGTCAGAGGCCTACATTCAGGTGGGTGTGGGCAGGGTGGAAGTGGACTGAGAGGGAGCCCCAGGAGGTTCTGAGAGAGGCTCAGCTGATTACCTGGTCCAGAAGGTCAGTCAGGTTTTCAGAAAAGAAGAGTAGGGGAGTGTGAGAATCTGTGAGTGAGCAAACCGGGTTGCGTTTGTGGCCAGGTCCCCGAGCTCTGCCCAGGGCCCCGGCACAGCCAGTCAGCACTGTGCTTTGTCCATCTCTGTTTTGGAGTGCTGACTGTGTTATTTTGACTGCTCCAGTGGAGTGAGTGCCTGCGGGGCAGGGTCTTCCTTTGTAACTACTCTAGTAGTAACAGAGGGAAGACTGAGATGTGAAAAGCCGTGCCTTTGTAGAAGAGAAGGAGTGAGTGTCCGAGAGGTGACTGTCTCCTCTGTGGCTTCCTCCTGGGTTGAGACTTGGCCACGCCTCTTTTGGGCTGTGGGGTCTTTTGGAGCCTGGGATCGCTCCTAGGGTCTTGGCATTTGAGTCATGCTCTATACCTGAGCTGCACTCCCAGCCCCTGTGGGTCCTTTTTTAGAAAGGAGCTTTGAATGGAAGGTAAGAAGAGGAGAGGCTGGGTGGGGTGGGGGAATAGGGACTGAAGGAATGTCCTGGCCGGTGATGGTGGCCGACGCGTGGTTGGGTGCCAACTGCCCACTGCGGATGGAGAAACGTCCTCTTTCCTGACAGATATGGAAGAGGCGGGATGCCGGGGAGACCAACCAACAGGGGGCGTGAGGCGGGCCAGCTTCCCCCTGAGGACAGCCCAGTGAACAGGACCGAAGTGGAGCCGAGCAGAGGCAGGCTGCAGGTGCCATGGGTCCTGGCTACACCACACATTGAGGGGCCCTCCACCAGTCCTGTAGAAAGCGCTCCTCCCTCCTTCCTGCCGTCCTCTCAGCTGCAGCAGGCTGAGTGCTTTGCAGGTGGCTGTCCTTTCTCTTTAGCAGCTGGTGCACTGAAGGGTGGATGATTCCTCGTAGACGTCGAGCCTCAGGGTTGTGGGAGTCATATCATGAAGCCAGTCACGCCTTCTCCTCCAGGGAGGTAGTTCTCTGTGGTTCCCTTAGGTCCTATGGGTTTTTGGATGGATTAAATTCTCTGTTTTTAAGCCAGCCTTCTGTCCTATGTGCGTCACCCGCTGCTGGCGGATGGAGGCTGACTTGCCTCCTTTCCCGTCTTCACTAACTGCCTGTGCTGCGGCCTGTCATCTGGCGGACACCCTCCTGTCTCCTCCTGCCCACTCAAAGGTGGTGTCACCTGGGATGCGTTTTTCTCTAAGTCTGGAAGTGACAAGTTGTTACTGTGCTGGACTCGAGGCTGGGTGGGAGGTCCAGACTGCAGCTCAGCCCTCCGAGGGAGTTCTCAGAAAGCCTCGGCCAGGCCAGCGCAGCGCCCAGAGCAGGACTGCCAGTCGGGAGCTCAGGCAGACATGGCCTTGCAGGTGGGCCTGGCGGCTGGACCTGGGTGCTGCTGCAGGTCCACGGGAGCAGGGAGCCTTGTACACAGCTGTGGGCAGCCAGCCGCTCCCGCGGAGCCACAAGCACGCTTGCTGTGCCCGGCAGTGTCCTCCTTCCCCTACCTCGCTGGCAGCCTTGGGAATCCTGTTGAGGCTCATATCTTCCACTGTTAGAAGCGGGGATCCCTTAGGACCCCCCTAGGCCTTCTCCTCATCGTTTACTTTCTGGGCCATTTCAACTCTGCCTGTGGCCTCGCTTGTCATGTTAAAAGCATGATTCATGAACAAACCTTACCCAGAACTTCTCTAAGGTTTGTTATGTTTTGTTTTAGGAAAAACGTTTTCAGACTGGTTTCAGACTCAATCCTCCTGCCTCAGCCTCCCTAGTGGCTGGGATTACAAGAGGGCACCACCACACCTGGCTAAATTCTCATCTTTAGAGCCAGCTGACTACTTGATACAGTTTTGGGTGTGTTAAAATCAACTCACACTGAACATTTTCAAAACTGAGCTTGTGTGGTTTTCTCTCAAACAGCCCCTTTCCAGTGTGTCCTGGGTGAAAGATCCCACCACTCCTCGTTACGTCAGCTGGAGATGGCCCAGGAGTCACCCTGGACAGCCCTCCAGCCCCTCGTCTGCTGTTGCTGTGTCCTGGCAGTTTCACCTGTCATCTTCTGCCACCCTGTGGGTAGCAGGGGCTTTGTGTAGGTCCAGCTGGGCTGGGCCCAGTCAGGCGAGTGGAGCCATAGCACAGTCTGGTCAAAGAGGGTTTCATTCCAATGATTCATAACGGTAGCAGGTGGGAGTGACCAGGGTTTGCCTAGTGGGAAGAGCGGCAGACATGGGAGGAGCCGCTGTCTCTAGTTTGAGAGCGCCTGTGGCCTTGCTGAGAATTGGGGCCAAGTGTGGTTCCAAACACGTGTAGAACATGTGCACCTCAGAATACTAAAATTCTGCTTTGTAGCACTTGGGGAAAGCCATTCGCAGTGGTGTCCCTCTAAGGCACCCTAACAGGACTGTCCCTGGAGGGGAGGGTCAGGTGGGGCCACTATGCCCCTCAGCAGCTGTGGAGGGAGAATCTACTAGCACCACCGGAGTCTGCCCTTCCCGTGGATCTGCAAAGCCCTCTTCTGACGAAGCCTGTATGTCAGCTCTCCAAGGAAAACCTAAAGGGCTCTTTTCACAGCAGAGGCCCAGAGAGCCATTTGGAAGTGAGGGGTGGTGAGTTGCTGACTGGCAGGTCTTCGCTGGACAGCTCAGCTTCCATATGCGCTCGCACTCCTGCTTGTAACTGAGTTCTTGCACAACAAAGGTGGAGGTTCTGCATTTCTGCATAACACATCTGCCCTTCTTGTGAGCAAACAGTCTTCACCTGTACCCAAAATGAGACGCAGTCCTGGGGGGGGGGTCACTGTCGTTACTCCCACATCCAGTCACCATCATACTGTATCCTGTTATCTGAAGATGAGGTTATAAAGTTAACTTCCAACAACTTGTAGCTGCATAAAGATGGGAAAACGGTCACAAACGGTCAACAAGTGGATCATCGTGTGTGTATAACATGTAAGTGGACAGTAAACACAAAGCCAGGCACAGTGGCACACACCTGTGATCCCAGACTCTGCAACTTGTAAGAGCCTGTGTCAAAAGAAGGGCAGGGGATGCAGCTCAGTGAGAGAGCACCCTTGTTCAGTCCTCAGTCTTGGGGAAGCCATTTTCTGAGTTCTCTCCTCCTGCTGGCCACTCCACCTGTCTCTTGTCTCAGCTGGAGTTAGCCTCGGCTTCCTCGCCAGACCTGAAACACTTAACACTCTGTCCTTCAGCTGCTGCTGCTGCTACTTCTGCTTCTGCTTCTGCTTACTCCAGCACCGTCCTCCCAGGAGGCCCAGGATTGTGATGAGTTTACCAAAGGCTGCCTCCACTCAGATGCAGAGGCCTGTGTCTCATGCCTGGCCCAAGAGCAGGATGCGCAGAGCCTGTCCTGGTGCCTGAACAGTGGGGTGGAGGAGGCCCAGGACAGACTCAGAAAGCCCCAAGCCAGAGGCAGAATGTGCATCCTGCTGTGGGGTCCCTCAGCTCCTGCAGTGCCTGGGCTCCTTGGGGAGGGGAGGGCACAGGTGGAGGCCAGGCAGGAGGCTGCTGGAAAGGCAGGAGATGGAGATGGGGTGCCTACTGGCTCAGGCGGGGAGAGGGAGGTCCTGGCGGCCCCCTCCGGGGGGCTGCAGCCCCAGAGCACCTCCAGGACAGGGCCCGGATCATGCCAGTGCATAGGGCTTTATTGGCAGTGTTAGGGTGTGGCCACGCAGGATCTGAGCCTGCCTGCACTGCCCTGCTGAGTTTTGAGCAGAATAGTCACAGCAGAAGGGCTGGGGCTGGGGCTCAGTGGTGGAGCGCGTGCCTAGCATGTGTGAGGCACAGGGTTACATCCCTGGCACCACGTGAAAATAAATAAAGGCACTGTGTTCATCTGTAACTAAAAGTATTTTTTTTTTTTTAAGTCACAGCAAAAATAAAATCACCCTTGGAACTTTGAACAAAAGTTGGGAAGTTCTTACAAAAAGATGAAAACCCTCTCTCATTTTGCTCTGGGGGGTTGAACCCAGGATGTGTTCCAGGCTACCTCCAGCCATACCCAGCCCAGAAATCCCTGTCCTACAAAGCAGCAGCTCGCAGGCAGAGTGTCTCCGACACGGAATTTTGCCCAGTCACCTCCCGTCACCCAGGGCATGGAGTATCCACCTTGCACAAGCCAAGGGTTTCCTGATTTATTTTTAAAAAGCCTAATGTAAGGATTTTGTGAGTTTATCAGAGTACATTATGATCCCATTTTATTCTGAATTTTGAACTTCTTGGAAATGTTGGCAAACAAGACGCTGGTCTTGAGCACGTGGGGGTCAGTGTGGACTGGCCCAGTTGCTCAGCTGTCCTGGAGCTGCAATGTTCCCCCTCCGCCGCCCTGAGCAGTGGGAGCTGGCTTGGCTCTGGTGCTGTGAAGGTCAGAAGCAGCCTCTGCAGACCTTGTCCAGAGGACACTGTTCTTGCTGGCCTTACTGAGCACAGAGTGGCTGTGGTGTCAGGCTGGGGCCAGGGCTGGACCACTTTGGCTGGTGGTCCACCAGTGTCACTTTGCAGGGGAAGGCGAGTGGGGTGAAGCTCCTTCCAGCCAGGGCAGTGGAAGGGCAGGGCCACAAGGAGCCTTGCCACGGTGGCTAGAGACCCTCACTTGCTTCCTCCTTTGCCCTAAGGAGGGGGACATCTAGGGGGGACCTGTATCTTGCCAGGGGACCCGCCACAGTTGATGGCAGAGCTGGGGCTGCAGCCAGGCCTCTTTCTGTTTCAGTGGCAGCTCTGGGAACTGGGGAATGCTCTGTCCCTCTCTTTGGTGGCCCCTCCAAGGTCCCTGGCCATCACTGGTGGGGAGGGATTTATTAAGCTGACCCCTGTGAGGTAGGTCTGTGTCCAGGCACGTGCCCCAAGTGCACGTGACACCAGGGCTCCAGGGTAGGCTGGGCTTCTTCCTCTCCTGGAGGAGGGTGGGCCTCACCGCATGACCTCGGCTGCAGCCCTCGCCAGCAGCCCTCGCCAGCCACAGGCCCTCCCTGCCTTCTTACAGAGCGAGTGGTGAAATGCATGAGGACCCTCCTGCTCTCAAGGTCATTGGGGCCACCCTCCATCCCATGTACTACCTTTGACTTGGGAAAGGATGGTGGGGGGAGGGGAGGGACTTCAAGCCCGTGGACTCAGATGGCTGTAGTGTTCCTGGCTCTGAGGGGCGGCAGCCTCTGGAGGCAAAGCTGATTCCCCTGAGGTTGGGACACCTTGTCTTGGCCTGAGTACATCAGGTCCCAAAGGCAGCTGGTCTGAAGGCCCAGGCAGAGCGGAGGAGGGCTGCTCAGGGCAGGGGGCAAGGGCTCTGAAGGGAGGGTGGCCTCCCCCTGAGAAGGGCCTCTTCCTGGTGGGGCCTGGCGCTGTGCCCAGAGCTATGCCCAGAGGTGGCTGGAACCGCCTGCAGGAGTGGCCACCTCTCACTGCCCCGTGGCAGCCCCTGCCCTTCCCTCCCCCACGTAGGTCAAGACTCACCTGGAGGCTGGGTCCTCAGAAGAGGGGGTTCTGGAGACACTGGAGGGGGCTGAACGTGGTGGCACACACCCCCAAGGCCTGCCACAGGGACAGAATTGGGACTTCAGTGCCTCACTCCTGGCTCCGGGACATAGGGGCAGTGCTGATCTGCCTTCTCATGCCACCCTAGTGTGACTTAGTAGACCCAGGCCACTCCCCGAGCCACTGCCTGCAGGCCTAGAGCTAAGGAGGAGGCTGCTGGCCCAGGACACCCACCGGGGCCCTCGCCAAGCACACTGGCCAGCGGCTGCAGGCCAGCAGCTGTAGCCCAGTCAAGGAGGGCTGCAGCTGAGCCTGACACAGCCCCCATCTCCCATGACACTTTCTCGGCTTCTTCTAGGCCAAGGCCTGTTCTGCATGAGAACACAGGCGCCTCATCTTGGCCCATGTCACTCCTGATCCAGGAGAGTGGGGGCTCTGGGGGCTTTGAGAAGTCCTGGCCAGCTACAGGGGCAGGTACCTGGCAGGTGGTGTGGGCATCCCAGCCCCGAGGCGCCAGGGCCAGCAGCTGGGGCATGTGCTGCTCCACAAATTGCTCACACTGAGGAAAGACAGAGGCAGGGGGTGACCCAGGCCTGAGGCAGCACCTCCCTCCTCAGAGTCCTGGCTCCCGCCTTTCTGGGCCTCTTCGGTTCCCTCTGGGCCCTGGTGCAGGTCCAGGCACCAGCCCCCAGCAGCTCTGGCTGCTGGGAGCAGAGCAGAGGGTGTGGAATAGAGGGCTTCTGTCAGGGAAGACAGGGGCACCGAGAAGGACTGGCAGAGGCCCCCACCCTCTCCATGTGCAGGTGACTAGTCTCAGCTAAACTGCCCGAGAGATGGGTGGGCAGGGCCAGGGTCTCTCAGGGTCCTCTCCCAGCTACAGCTTTGGCCTTGGTCACTTGGAGTCTACCAGGCCCTGGCAGATGCTGCCCAGCACTAGGAGTATCCTGGGTACCACGTGGCACACCTGGGCCTCCCCTACAGCCAGCACTCCTGGGCAGGGCTGAGAGCTGCATGGGCTTCCCTGGGCAAGGCCCTCCTGGGCTGGCAGGACTCGCCTGGCACTTGACCCAGGCAGGGACTCCTGGTCCTGGGAGTTGTGGTCTTTTGTCCAGAGAAGACATCTGACCCTCAGCAGCTCTGGCCTATGAAGCCATCACAGACCACTGTTTCCAACCACGTCCTGGATGCCCGGCTGGGCTCCAGCCCAGCCCATCCTGTATCTCTGGCCACAAAGGCTTTCTGGGCTCGGCTGCCCACGGCGGACAGGACCTGGGCCCCGTGTCCCTGGAAGCCAGCCTGGCTGCGCTGCTCTGGCTGGCTCCTCCTACCTTCTCCCTGTCCAGCCAGGAGCGGAGGCAGGCCTGGCGCATGGCCTGTGGCGTGGCCTGCTCACTGCTGTTCCAGGCCTGGGTGGTCACGGACACGCAGAGCTGGCACTGGGAGGCTGGCGGCAGCCATTCGTTGGACAGGGAGCCCAGAGCAGGGAGGGCTGCAGAGGAAGCAGTCAGGTCTGTCCTGCAGAATGTCTGGTCCTGTCCTTAGACCAGAGAGGGAGGGAGCGGCCTGGGCCGCAGAGCCTGAGAGGGCAGGGTGGGCGGCGACTCACCTGGGCCAGCGCCATCTTCACTGGAGCACCGGAGGACCAGGCCGCAGACCAGCTGGGGCAGCATGCGGCCCAGCAGTGCGTCCAGAAGGAGAATGGTGTACTGCTTGGCTAGGCACTGGCAGATGCCGCCCACCACCAGGGGTACCACATGGCACACCTGGGCCACAGCCACGGCCAGCACTCCCTGGGGCGGGCCGAGAGAGGGTGATGTGGGCCTCCCTGTCCCAGCGTGGCCTTCCTGCACATGCCCTCCCTCTAGGAGGGAGGGTGACTGCAGGTGAGGACGCGAGAGGCAGCTCACGAGGTGTACATGGGGGCACTGGTCAGAGTGCTCTGTGGTCAGAGCAGCAGTCGCGATGGACCCGGGTCTGGCTCAGACTCAGTGGAAGAGGCATGGCTTGCCAGAGAGGAGGGCATCGCCACGGTCACTGCCTGGCCAGCTGGGAGCCACGCCTCCTCCCTCCTGACCAGGGCTCACTACCCTTCCCCACAGGAACCCCTCAACAGCAGATGGCCCTACCTCTAGCCAACAGGCCCCTGTTTGGGGAGCCCCTGGGAAAGTTAGCTGCTTTCCTCCTCACCCCGACTCCACACAAGCTGGGGCAAGCTGGGCCCTGGCAGTTCCCCAAGGTCACATGTCACCCGCTTGCTCCTAACCACAAGGTAGGTGAGCCAGCATCCCTGTCATCAGGGTCCCACTGGCACTGTCCCTGGCCGGGCCTCCTTCCCTCCTGATGGGTGAACGTCCTTGCTGCTTGCCCATAGCAGGAGGGAGGGCTCTGTCCTGTTCCAAGTGCTGCCCAAGCAGCGGGTGCGCTCACAACAAGGCTAGCCCCTTCCTCCTCGTGGTGCTGGGGTCAGACCCAGGCCTTGCGTGCCAGGCTCCTCCCGAGCCCCAAACCTTTCTCTTGACTTGGCTTAACGGTGTCTCAATGGGCCATACCAACTCTGTTCTCCAACCCCTCGGCCAAGCTTGGGACAGCAGGAAGCTTGTCCACTGCTGTAGTCTCTCAGTGACCAATGGCCTGCAGGACCCCATTTGGGAATGACTGGTGAAGCCAGAGGGCAAAGGCCACTGCTGATGTGGAAGATTTCAGGCTGGACATGGCAGGATGGGCACCTATCTGTGGGGACTCTCCTACTGAGAGACTGCAGTGTCTTCCACAGACAGCTGGGACCCGCCACAGTTAGTGACCTGCAGGAGTGCCAGGGCACAGTGGGACCTGAGCCTGGGTGGGTGGGCGGAGCATAGGTGGCTCTGCTTAACCTGGCGGCAGTGAGATGGAGCTCCTGCGTGAGGCCCTGGCGCCTCACCTTGGGGATCATGGTCTGCACCCGCTTCATCAGAGTCCTGCAGAGCCAGCAGAAGGGCAGGGGGATGGGGAACTGCTGCTGGGAGAGCTCCTGGGGAGAGAGCCAGGGAGGTGGCTGTGGCTGGCCGAGGCCACCATCCTCTAAGTCTCGCCTCCCCCACCCCCGGCTCAGGCCCTGCCTGGAGCTCATCTGTCCCTGGCTCTGCCCCTCCAGGCCCAAGTGCCTTGGGTCTCAGCTGCCCCTCTGGCCCTCTGCACCCCAGCTAACTGGCCATGGCTGGCCTCCCTCACCTGTGTATGAGGCCCAAGCCTGTCCAGGAGGGCCCCTGGCAGCACGGGGAGGGCCAGCTTATCTGGCAGAGCGTCCAGCACAGGGTCAGGTGGAGGATCTGGCATCCTAGGCTCCTGCTCAGGCCGCCTGTGCTGGCACAGGCTCAGGTGCTGGCAGATGACCTTTGGGGTCTAGGGCACAGTGCAGGTGAGGGGCTGGTGGCCTGGAGGGAACCTCCTCCCACTCAGGCTGGCCCCAGGGCTCAGGGCCTAGAGCCACTCTTTGGGCTTGGAATGGTGGGGGAGCAGGCTGGGTGCGAGGGGAAAAAGGGCAGAGGTGGGGTGTATGGGGATGGGGTGTCTGGGATCCTGTGTGAGTGAGCATGAGCTCACATGCAAGGCAATGTGCGTGCACATGGGGTGAGGGCAGGCCTAGTGTGTGCGCACACACGGGTGAGAGCAGGCAGGCCTAGTGTGTGTGGGTCTGAGCAGGTGGGCACCCTCCACCTGCCTGGCTGAGGATGCTTCGTCTCCTCGTTGGGGGTGAGTGTGTGTGGTCTGAGGTTCTGTGTGTGTGTGTGTGTGTGTTTGCCTGTCTGTCTATCTGGGGTTCCATGGTGCTGTTGGAGTTGCCTGGGGTGCTTTGGGTTGGGTGATTGGTTGTGGTGGCCCCGGGGGCCATGTTGGCAGAGCAGGTAGGTGGGAGGTCTGGGCGCTCACGGTCTGGCTCTGGAAGTAGTCAATGACCAGGGGGAAGTAGTTATCCAGCACGTGGTGGCACTGGGGCACGAGCAGCTTCAAGGGGAGGACATCACACTCACGCTCTAGGAATTTCCGAATGGTTTTCTGGGAGGAGGGAATGGAAGGTCAGCTGGCCTCTCTGAGGCCTGTACCTGCTCCAATCCCACATGGCCACCACCCAGGGCAGACTGATTCCACTTCTCCCTGGGCATTGGGACTGAAACTGCCAAGGAGTAAACGGTTGGGCACATGGAGGGCTTCTCCCTGCCCAGGAACGACCATTTCTGGCTTTGGCCAAGCTCCATGCTATGGCTTGGGCCTGGCCAGGAGGATCTTGGTGCCTCAGGCCTCACCCTCAGCCTGGAAATGCCCTGAGCTGCCCCTCTGCCCACATTCCTCCAGGATCTGGGCCTCATCACCTGGAAAATGTTCTCCTTGGTCATCTTTGTGAGGATGTTGATGATGTCCTCACACTCTTGGCACAGGTCATCCTGGGGAGGAGTCCCAAGGTGGGGCCCATGAGTGGGGAAGTGCTCCCAGCTCCATGGAATGAGGCACTCTCAGACACAGGCTGAGGGGGCCTTTTAAGGCGCAGACAGCTTCCCACTTCATCCTGCCCAGTGCCACTCATTGAGCCCATTGTCCATCTGTCTCTCTGTCCATTCATCTCTCCATCCATCCACCCATCCATCCCATCTATCCATCCCACTTATCCATCCACCCATCCATCCATTCACTCATCCACCCATCCATCCTATCTATCCACCCATCCACCCCATCTATCCACCCATCTACCCACCCATCCTATCTATCCATCCCACTTATCCATCCATCCATCCTATCTATCCACCCATCCATCCATTCCATCAGTCCATCTATCCACCCATCCACCCATCCACCCATCTATTCTATCTATCCACCCATTCATTCATCCATCCCATCTTTCCATCCCACTTATCCACCCATCCATCCTATCTATCCACCCATCCATCTATCCCATCTATCCACCCATCCACCCATCCACCCATCCATTCTATCTATCCACCCATTCATTCAACCATCCCATCTATCCATCCCTCTTATCCACCCATCCATCCCATCTATCCATCCCACTTATCCATCATCCATCCTATCTATCCACCCATCCTATCTATCCATCCCACTTATCCACCCATCCATCCTATCTATCCATCCCATCCATTCCATCCCATCCCATCCATCCATCCATCCATCCCAGCCGTCCTTCTTTGCCCCATTCTATGCCATCCTCCCCAGTTCCATCTCATCCCACCCACCAATCCCATCACCTATCAGGGCTCCAATCCCCTTAAGCCCATCCAGCACCTTCTTCCCAGACCTCCAGGACATTGTGGGTGGTACTCACGGCTCCCGCATGTCCCCAGACTTCCTGAAGGCAGTGTCCCAGGGCCTTGCACTGCAGTGCTTGCTCCAGGCTTTGACACCAGAACTCGGGGCCCTGGGCACAGGCCAGGGATGAGGTGGTCTCCACAGCTGCAGTGGAGGCCAGAGCAATCTTGGTCAGGACCCAGGATACACTGGTGCCTGGACTTCACCCAACTTTTCTCATGCTCAATTTTTCTGGGAATTCATGGCCAACAGACATGTGGGACAACTCTGGTTCCCTACTGCAGAACCCACCAGCTCTGTGACCTTGGCCAAGCCTAGGGGCCTCTCTGGACCTCAGCTGACTTGTCCTTAAGTGAAGATTATGGATGGACTTGGGTTACCTGGGCTCAGAGCCAGGCTCAGTGAGTGGCAGGGGGCTCTGAGAGGAGGGCACGGGACTCACCAGTGCTGGGGCCACAGAGGGTGGGCAGCAGCATCCACAGCAGCAGGCGTGACGTGGCCATGGCCCCTGCAGCAGGGCGCCCTGCTCGGGCGGGCTTTTATAGCTGGGGAGAGGGCTGGGGATGGGCGTGGGAGCACAGGGAGCAGTGTTTGCCTTCCCTGGAGAGCCCTCCACGCCTGGTCAGCCTCTTCCCAGCAGGACACGCCCAGGACCTCCACCCGCCTAGGCCTCCTCAGGGCCAGCTGCTGCTCCCTTTGCCCCTGGCCCAGGCACAGCTCCCTCCAGACAGGGGGGCTTTGAGGCTCCCCCCATCCTGCCTCTCTGGGCTGTGGCGGGAAGCCGAGCAGGCCCCTGTTCCCCCTCCCACCCGGCCTCCTCTGCTCTTGAGCAATGTTCTCAAAAGCTTCCTGCCTGGCTCTTGATCCAGGTAAGTGCCGGAAAGGCACATCCTGGGCCACCTCCCTCTCTGCCCTCCTTACCCCTCCCTAGAACCCTCTGTGCACAGATGGCTGTTGTGGGGCAGAAGAGTTCACACCAGGAGTCTGAGGTGGGCGTGAGGCTGAGGCACTGGCTCCCAGAGGTTCTCAGCACCGTCCCAACAGCCCCTCAAGGCGGGGGGCTGGGCACGGCTGGTGGCTCAGGGGACAGTCCTCTGTGTCTGCAGATCTCTCCAGCTGGGTCTCACTGGGCAGGGCACACTGGAGAGAAGGCCCAGAACCTAAAGTGGGCAGGGGCCGCTGCAGGGAGGGAGGGATCATCTCGATGGCCCTGCCACCACGGCCCTCTCCCCTAGTCCTGCCGGGGGCCCTCTCCCTACCAGAGGATGCCTGGCACCTCGAGCGCTCACGGTGGCAGGGCAGGGCAGGAGCCAGCCGTGATGAGAGCTGGGCCCAAGGTGGTACCATGACACTCGAGGTCACTTGAGCACCCTGTAGTTTCTGTTGGTCCTGAGCCCTTGTCACATGACAGGCACAGTTGCCACCACGGAAGCTAACCCAGTGTGTGGGAGTTCCTGACCCAAGGCTGGGAACCCGAGGCCTGCAGAAACCCCAGGGCCGTGGACCTGCACCATGCTTGTACCTGGGTGTGGGATCCAGGGGCCGAGTACAGAGCGTCCTTAGGGGATACCCAGGCTCCAGCCCCTCACCCAGAGCAAAACCAAACAGAATCCCACAACACACCAAATAAGCAGAGCTGCGTTGGGTCTGGGTACCCTTGGGACAGGTGGTGGCCCGTGGCTTCCACCCGACCCTCCAAGGGTCGGATCTCTGGACTCACGGCTGCCTTCCAGGAGCGCAGCCGAGGAAGCGCACCAAGCTACCTGTGGACGGCTGCCCGCCTGCTGGCCGTGCCAGGCCGTAGTGCCTGGTGCTCCCTCAGGGCACAATCACCACAGGGCTGGGCTGAGGGTCCTGGGCACAGATCTGCCTCCCGGACGGCTGCCAGCCTGGCCTCTCTACTCCTCACTGCAAATAAGAAGAGAGACATGGTAAAGGAAGAAAGGCATCGAGGCCCCTGTGTGATAGCAGGTCCTTTGCGTGTGCTGGGCCGCCCTCCCCTGAGGACCTGGGCCTCTGCCCTCCCTCGGCACACTCCTGCCCTCAAGTTTATGTGAGTGTGGTCTCCAGAGCAGCCTTGGGAAGTCCAAGGTGAATGCCAACCTGGGGCCACAGGAGAGCCCTCCTGAGCACAGCCCCGTCCTCCCATTTAGTCTTGTTTCAAAAGGGACTTCTCTAGAGGATGGGCAGGGAGGCCTGGCAGGATGCTCAGTTTATGAAGAACTCCTGCTCCTTCATGCATTGACTGAGAAATGAGCTGGGAGGTGGAAGGACATAGTCAGTGCCCTGGGACTCTGATCTATGGGGATCCGGGAGTAGTGGCCACAGCAGGAATCCCAGCCATTCTGGAGGCTGAGACAGGAGGTTTGCAAGTTCAAGGCCAACCTTTGCAACTTAAGTGAGGCCCTGTCTCAAAATAAGAAATAAGAAGGGCTGAGGTTCAAATCCCAGTACCAAAAAATTCAGAGCCCTGGGTTCATCCCCCAGCACCACAACACCAAAAACCAAACAGGAACCTACAGGGTGGGAGTAGGTGGGGAGGTGGGGAGTAGGTGGGGGATTGGGCTCCACCCACGCCTGGAGACTCAAGGTGTGGGTTTGGCCTGGTGGGACCAGGAGGAGGTGCTCCATACCAAGGGGTCCTGTCCAGCGAAGGCCTGCAGGAGAGCACTTGGAGCTGGCCAGGTTGAGTGGTCCTCACTGGCTGGGGAGGCAACTGGAGCCCACTCCACACAGCAGGTCCAGATGGCAGGCAGCTGGTGGACCGACAGCCAGCCCCACTCTCCAGCTCCTGACTACTTCTGAGCAGCCCATGGGCCCCAGACCCTGCCCTGTCTGCCTCCTCACGCCCAGCTGAGTCTCCCAAGGGAGGAGCTGGCAGTGTCTCTGACCCTCCTCGCATCCCCCATTCTCTGCATTCACCTGTGGGCTGAGCTGCGTCCCCTAGGAGGAGTGAGGAAGGGACCTTGTTTGGAAATGAGTGTTTGCAGATGTAACCCGGTCACGATGTGGCTGTGGGGCCCTGGTTCAATGCCCGGGGCCCATAAGAAGGAAATGTGGACACAGAGTAGTAGGTGACGGTGGTAGGGAGACTGGGAGACAGGGCCACAGCTGGGGAGCGCAAGGATGGGCATCCAGCAGGGCTGGGCCAGGCAGGAAGGGCTGCCCAGAGCTGCCCGCCTGCTTCAGACCCATGGACTCCGTGAAGAAGACTCTCCTGTAGCCTGCAGCCACCCAAGGCGCTTCTCAAACGTGCCCTCAGGCCAGCCTCCCTCTGATCCTCCACCCAGATGGACCCCAGGGGATGACCTGGGGCCAGGACAGACCTGGCACTGACCCTCAGTGTCACTGCTGTGTCTCAGGGGCACAGCTAAGAGGCCTGATGGAGCTGGCTGGTGTCAGGTGCACAGGATTGGGGTGACCAAAGGAAGCTGCTCCGTGGCCTCCTCTGAGCTAAGGACCACAGCCTCCCTTTCATAAAGAAGTAGAAATATCATTGTTGGGTGCTGGGGTGGAACGAGGGCTCGACCTGCACCTGCCACTGAGCTTCATCCCAGCCCCAAACCTATGGCCTCTATGAAACTCTGCCTTGTGGACAGGTGCCCAGTGCTTGGTTGCCACGGAGCACGAGGCAGGCGGAGAGTGCTCGCTTCACGGAGCAGTCCCCGGTTCTCCCAGGAAAAGCCCCAGGAGGCAGTCACAGGCTGAACCACCTCTGTTTTCAGAGAACACTATTATTTTTTTTTTATTATTGTGGTAAAAACACAAAACGGGGCTCGGGGCTTGGCTCAGGGGTACAGCACTTAGTGGGTACATGCACTTAGTGGGTACATGCGAGGCTCTTGGCTCCACCCCCCAGCACTCCAAGGCAAAACAAAAGCAGAAGCAAAGCAAAACCTCACACAACACAAAATCTATTGCCCTAATCATTTTTGTGCGTGTGGTTCTGCAGAGTTGAGTGCGTTCACACCCTGTGAGCTAGGTCTCCAGAACTCTCTCATCTTGCAAAGCGAACCCCCCCGCCACCGCCAGCTCTCCATGGCTCCTTCTCCCCAGCCCCAGGGGACCTTGGATGGAACCTGGGGTCTCACACATGCCAGGCACGTGCTGAACTGCTGATCCACACCTCAGTGCAAGGCTGTGTCCTTCTGATTGTCTTATTTTGGAATTCCGTTAACTGGGTTTGGATGCAAGCTTCCTTGCACCCTGGATGAGTCCTACTGGTCATAGTGCACGGCTCTTTCTACCACTGCCCTGTTCAGTGTGCCGCAATCTCTGCTTCCACGCTCCTCGTGCAACTTTCTCCTGAGGTCGTCTTCCGGCTTCGTCACCAGAGCAACCATCTGATTTACAAGAGCTGGTGAAACCTTGGTGTTAGTTCTTCTGGTCCAAAAGAGCCAGGTGCCATGAGCCATCCCTGGGTGGTGTGTGAGCTATGCGCAAAATTGGAGCGATATGAGGGGACAGGCCTGGCGTTGCACGCTGACTGGGCTGTGCCTCATAAGGGCGCCTCTCCTCTAGTTCTGCCTGTGTCCCACACAGCACCTGAGATGGATGTGACTTGCCGAGATGTCAATTAATCTGCTGACCACAAGACATCACAAAGCAAGACTCCACCTTTCGAAACCTGATGATCCCCTGCAGACGGAGTGGGTGTGAGGAAGGTGGGTGCCAGGAGGGTGGCAAGGAGTAGGGTGAGCTAGAGGGAGGCATGCTGTTGTGAGGGTTTCTCAGGCTGAGGAAGGTCCTCCTCAGAAAGGGGGAAGGAACCCTCAGGCGTGAGATGTGGAGCTTTAGAGGATGCTCAGGGGCGGTGGAGCAGACGTATCTGTGGGAGGAGGATGGTGGATGGTCAGGCTGGGCTCCCTTGGTTGGAGGCCGGGCTGGTTTTCAGCCTGGAAGTGTGAATCCTTGAAGTCAGTTTGCCTGGGGATCCTGTAGGCAGGCAGTGGTGGGAGTGCACAAGATGACCCTTGGGGGCCCTTCCAGTTAGGTGTCAGGGTGGGCAATGCTGGGAGCCATTAGCCAAGTAGGTATGACAATTTCCTTGCCAGCGTACCCCATGTTGCTGACATGTTGCAGTGACATTGAATGTAGGTGACCTTGCTCAAGGACCAAGGCAGATTAGGGCGTTCCCAGTTTAGGTTCCAGGTTTAAGGTTTAAGATTATTCCTGCTGGGAATAGGGCGTATCCTGCTGCCTGAGTTCCCCTTGAGTTCTCACGGGATTTAGACAGTATATTTTGGAGATAGAAGCCCAGTGGAGGTGGATTTGGGCAGAGAACGTGGATTTGGGAAGAGAACGTGGATTTCCCCAGAACGTGATTGTAGACGGCTGGTGTGAGTTCGGGAATAAAGAGTTGCTGTTTGAATCTACAAGCTGTGTGGTGGCTCGTGATTGTGTGCCCAGCCAGACTGCGGCATTTGTGCCCAGCCAGACTGCGGCAGGCATGTCACCAGAAGGAGGAAAGAAATATACCCAGCCGCCTGGGGTTAAGAGGAAGGAGACATGTGACCTGGAGGTATCAGATATTAGAGTTTCCTGGTGATTCCAAATCTGTGTTCGGATGAAACTA